CCAGCAGGTCAAAGGAAGTGATTGTCCCCCTCTACTCTGCTCTGGTGAGTTCTCGCCTGCAGTGCTGCATTCAGATCTGAGGACTCCAACATAAGAAGGACATGGAACTGCTGGAGCAAGTACAGAGAGGTAATGAAGTTGATAACAGGACTGGAGAACCTGCCCTACAAAGGCAGGCAGAAGAATTTGGGGCTGATCAACTCAGAGAAGAGAAGGCTGCATGGAGAACTCATAGCAACCTTCCAGAATCTGAAGGGGCCCTACAAGGAAGCAGGAGAGGGACTCTTTGAAAGGAACTGCAGTGATAGGACAAGAGGGAATGGGTATAACTTAGAAAGTGGGGAATTTTCATTTAGATATTAGGAAGAAATCCTTTTCTGTGGGGGTGGTGAGGCACTGGAACAGGTGGCCAAGAGAGGTTGTGGATGCCCAAACCCTGGAGCTGTTCAAGGCCAGGTTGGATAGAGCTTTGGGCAACCTGGTCTAGTAGGAGGTGTCCCTGCTCATGGCAAGTGGGTTGGGACCAGATGGTCTTTAGGGTTGCTGCCAACCCTTACCATTCTATGATTCTGTGATTCTGCAGTACATATTCTAGTTACCCTATGTATGCTTAAGTAATTTCAAAATGTGAATTAGATGAGATCACGTATTTTGCAATGGGTCTGTTTAGGGCTTTGCCATCTTCAGAGGCAGAGAAGGGCTGAGTACCACTCAGCTGCAAGTGTTTCCTGCCTATTGCCTTCTCCCCAGTGTTGGGAGGGTGTGTTTCCAGCAAGGTCACTCGGAGCAGCCTGACATCTTTGCTGCCTGTGAAGAACATGGTCTGCCTTCTCCTTTGCTCTAAAGAGAGAATGGCTGTGTGCCATTGGTCCTTCATTTAGTTTAAATTCCCATAGTAGGATACAACTAATGGTTTATGGTGAAATACAGTGGCATGGCATGGTCTTAATGTCATAATTATCCATAAAGAACTGACAGAGATCTTTTAATGTCTCCAAAGAAGTCAAGAGACAAGCAATTTGTTGAGTCCTGCTGAATAAGTAAAATGAACCTTAAAATTAACTTACTATGCAAGTCCAGTAGTATTTCTGCAAAGCTTTCTGGTAATAAAATCTAGCAGTAGCAGAGGTGTATCCTTGACTTTAACTGGGTGTAGAGTTTGGCTACATTCTGAAGAGAAGCAAAGGTTTGCTGCTATCATGTGATGAGGAAGAGGGGATGCTGTGTTCAGGAGGTCCCAAAGCCTATAGCAATACACTGTTTGATCAAAGGCACAGGTTCCCTGTGGTCTGTTAAACAGGTGCCCACATGAATAAGCTGCTGTTGAAGTCAGTGAGGCAAATGCCCTCACTGGAACCCTTGTCATAGCAGTCCCTTGGGAATGTAGAAATCCTCAGCTAAATAAGATTGAAGAAGGCTGGAACATGTGATGCCTCCCAATACACATCATCCCTCCCTTTAACCATCCCACAGCTGGTTAAAGAAGAAGAGCATTTATTGCTCACCGAGGTGGGGACTTAGCAGAAACCTCTTGTTCTGGGCACAAAGCAAGTCTTCTTTATCATCTCCCAGGGAGGGGATGGCTCCTGAATTAGGAAGAGGAAAAGAAAATGTTAGTGACAAGTAAGAGTACTTTTTACTTGAGAGTTTCAAATTGGTCTTTATAGGGTAATACTTCTCTGGAATAACTATTTTCCTGTAAGAGACCTCCTGTCCTATCAAAGCTACGTTTAGATCATCTGCAGCTGTTATTTCCATGAATATGGGATTGCTGTGTTTATCATGTAACTTTGACTTCCTCTGCATGCTGCATGCCTGTCTCTCTTGGCTGAGCCTACTTTTAACATTTCAAAGAGTTGAGCAGCTTCCAGCACCCACCGCCTGTGAGTATTGTGGTCATCCCAAACTCATGCCATTTTTGGACAGCATTTGACAGTTCTGTACTTTGTGATTTTTTCTTGTGTTAGCATGAAATGCACAAACCTGCTTATACTTAATTTTAGACAATTTTTTTCCCAGTTTGTTCAGATAAATCTCCTTGGCTCAGCAGCAAATCCATTTGCTTGCAAGGCTGGAGCTCTGTGCTTTAGCTCCTTTTATTACTTAATTTTTTCTGTGTTGGTTAGTGGGAAGTTTTGTCAGCACTGCATTTAAGTGTGTTTGTTTAGCAAAGCTCAGGCCTGATGCATCAAGCTGGTCAAATGTCGGTTCCAAATTTGAGGGCAAAGTGGTAACACACAATATTCAAACAATGTTTGGTGTACATTGCAAAAAAAAAAAAAAATATTGATGGGCACGACTCCATAGAGTAAAGGCTAGTGCTGTAAAAGACCTCCAGAAAATAGGAGTTGCTGTACACAATAGTTTTTATTGTAGACCAAAAAGAATTACTGGTTTTCTTGCTGAATGTGAAGATCAGTGCTGTATGTGGAGTGTTTACATCCCTGCTAGAAATGAGAATGCACAGCTCAAGTCCACTTGAAGTAAGTGGTAAGATGAGGATCCAGCTGAGGATTGCATCTGGGATCACAGTAGGTGGAAAATATTATCCAACTGGAAGTAGACATTGGAGATATTTACTAGGTAATTAATGGAAATAACTGCTTTCTCAGAGATAGCTCTTCAGGTCTTAAGGTTAAGGCACCAATGCAGTCGTTCCTGGAGCGGATCTCAAAATGGTTTCTTCCCATTGGGTGGAAACCCTAAATTTAAGGCCTGCTCCAAACCCTCCTGAAGCTATTGGAAGGCTTCCCATGGATTTCAATTTGTAGGCAATACATATGAGCCTTTTTAAGCTTTTAATAATAATTCCTTCTCTCAAAGAAAAACAAAATCTCATTCCAGATATTTAGATTGCTAAAGAAAGGCATGTAGTATTTTCCACAGTATTTTACGGAGACACAGGTTAGCATGGAGGAAAATGTTCATGCCTGTTTTTCCATAGGATGTTCAAAGAAATCATGCAAAATTATTATTTTCCATGAGATAGGAACAGCCAGTGTTTACACAGGCTAATAATTAAGAAATTTGCTGGAAAGAAAGGAGAAAATATGATTTTTTGGGGGGACAGTACTTTATATAAAAATATTCAGGTGTGAGAATCTTACATCTTTGAGAATTCCTTGAATGAGAGAGTATCAGCAGTCAGAAGCAGGCATTTCTCTTGTGTTTGAGTATTGGGTCTGTGTTGATGAAGCCAACCCTTTGACTGAAGATCTGCTTGCAAGGGGTTGTGGTACTGGGCCTGGAGGCTCTCGTTACTCGACAAGTGCTCTGCTGGTTCCCAGGGATGGGCAGCAATGAGCTACAGCTCACTCTGAAATAGCAGGGGCAGCTTCCTGCCCTGTGCTGCGTCTTGTGGAGACTTGTGGATGCAAGGGTGAGAGTGGTGTGATTGATGTTGCTGAAATTGGAGTCCAAAGGAACTCAGTATTACACATATTTGTATTATGTCACACTGATATGGAGAAGCGTTAAAATAAGTGACTTCTAAAGTGTTTGCTGATGGTGCTGCTGATTTAAGTGGGATTATAGCCCATTAAACACCCGATGTATGACTGTCTTTGGCCGTTTTACAGATACAGCCTCTGGCTTTAAATGCTTGAGACTTACATCCATTTGTTATGGTGAGTAATTTTTTAGACTTTTTAGAGACTAGCTGTGGGAGCAGTTTTTGGTTTCTCTTGGTAAATCCTCTTCTAGGATTTGTCTTCATGCTTTTCACCTCAGTGTGAACAACTGACCCATGGATGGTGTCACAGGTGACAGATGACTGGGAAATAGGGGAGTTAGCCCACGGCAAAGATAGCAAGGATAATTTCAGGATTTTTAATGGCAGAAAGCACAGTTGAAGCAGCATTTCTGATGTATCTATCAGACAGAAATGGAAGAAGGCGGTGCGCAGGCGGCGTGTGCTACAGGAGAGCCGCTATCATCCCTGACTCCCAGATCCCACCTAGTTAACTCCTTGCAGCAATACACCAGGGCTGCCAAGCACCGGGTAAAAACCAGGCCGAACAGGGAAGGATGGAACCGCTGGGCCCTGTAGCCCCGCGCCGTTTTCCGGCGAGGGTCGAGGTGTCCCCGCTTGTCTCCCCTCTCCTGCTAATTCGGTGACATTTCGGACAGTTCAAAAGTTCACGGGGAGGCTCTGGCGAGGCGACCGGGTGTGGGGCCGGAGTGGGGACCGCCAGCAGGTCCAGCCTCGCCGGCGGGGTTGGCCGGTGCCTTCTCCTCCTCCCTCTCTGCCTCCTCTCTCCTCGCTTGTTTCCAGGCGAGACCTTGGTCTCCGCAGGTACCGCTCTGCCTTCCCCCGGATCCCTTTCCATCTTCTCCCGGCGCCCCTGCAGCATCTGCCGGGAACCCAGCCGGGCAGCCTGCGCGGAGGGGCGCGCACCCCCGGCGGGCCGGGAGCGGCGCGGAGCGACTGCCCCCCCGCCGGCGGGGGGCGCGGAAGGGGGCGCGGAAGGGCGTGGGGGGGGCGCAAGCAGCGGTGTGGCTGCTCGCCGCCCCACAAAAGGCACCGCCGGGCTCGGGCTGCTCCGCACGCCCGGCGCACCGGAGCGCGCACGGACACGCACACACACACGGGAACTCACACACACACGGACACACTCGCACGCACTCACACACACGGGAGCGCCGCGATGTGCGATGCGCGATGCGCGACGTGAGGCACCTCGCACGCCGCGGGGCCGGGGAGAGCCGGCGGGATCTGCGTTGCCAGCCCGCCCGCCCCTGCCGCTCCCTCTCCTCCAGACCCATCCATCAGCCTCTTCCTCTCGGTCTGCTCCTGCCTTTCTTTTATTTTCCTTTTTTTTCTTTTTTCTTTTAAATTTTCTTTTTTTTGTTTTTTTTTTTTAAATTTGCTCTAACTGTATCTATCCAAGCATAGAAAAAATGCCTGCCCGTGGAGTGAGGAGAGGGCACCGGGTCGGTAAATAAGAAGTGAGTACGAGCACAATGGCGTGCCTCCCCGCTCCCAGCCCTGCGGATGCTGCATGCGCCCCTGCTTCCCCCGCACCGGACACCGGGATGCTCCCCGCGGCGGCCCGGGGCTCCTTTGTACCTTGCCTGGCTCCGTTCCCCTCCCTTCCCGGCCCCGCTCGCGCCGCGCCCCGGCTCCGCCGCCGGCCGCCTCGCCCCCGCGCCGCTCCCCGCGGCGGAGCATCCCAGCTGGCGGCAGCTTCCCGGGGTCTACCGGGGCTGCACCCCGCGGGGGCGGCGGGCGTCCCCCGGCGCACTGCACCGGCCGCGGGGAGGGGGCGGCGGGGCCGGCGGCGGTGCCCGGTGCCCGCTCCTTTGTTCGCCGCCGGCGGCCACGGCGGGTCGGCGCTGCTCCGGGCGGGCTCGGCGGCCCCGGCCGCGCTAAGAGCGCACCCCGGCACCGGCCCTGGGGGATCGGAAGGGCTCGGGGGTTGCCGCAGGAGAGAAGGCGGCGGCGGGAAAGGGGCTCCCCCCGCCAGGGTGCGGGACGGGGGGGCTGTGCCCGAGCCGCCGGTGCCCGTGGGGCGGGGGCCGGAGCTGTGGGAGGCGTGACCGCGGCGCGCGTGGAGCGCCCGGCGCCCACTCCGCGGGCTGTGAGGGGCGCCCCGGGTCCCGCTCGACCCGGGCTGGGGCTGCCACTCTCCCCCCGACCCCTTTTTCCGGAGCAGCGGTGTGTGCCGGAGCCCGGCGGGTTCCCAGGCGGTGACTCTGCCAAGTACCACCTTCCCTGCAGGGACGCATCCCATCACCGCCGTCCTGTGGGAGACTTTCCTATAGATTTAGATCTGAGCTTTTCCCACCAGCGGCTGGAAGAGCTGTCTTGGCCATTTAAAACGTACTGGTTATTCAAAACAATTTAAATATAGCTTGTGTGGTCACTGCCGTGACCATCTTCCCGCAGGAGACCTTTATCTGCACTTGATGTGGAGGATTTTTTTTAGTGCCCATGTACTTACTGGTAGTCACATGAGTTATCCAAGTACTTGATTAACACATTCAGCCACTCTTTTCCTAACCCGGTGGGGTTTTTGTAGCTGTAAATAGAAATACCTGGTCTAACAAATGCACGACTCTTCCAGTAAGCACACCTATGTTGTACCACTGTTTTGTGAAAGGTGTAATCAATAAACAATTAGCCTGTTAAGACCAGTATGATGAGCAATGTCTTATTTTTACAGTTGTGTCTGGGGAGTTTAGAAATGATCACACAGCTGTTCTCCGAAAGCATTTGCTGGATCATAGGACAAAATAGGTGAAAGAGATGAAGCTTTGTATTTTCCGGATACTTCTGTAATGCTGAGGTAGAACAGAGCTGGAAGGCTGCCTAGCAGTGCTTGAGAGAACAGTGGACATAAAGAATCTCTGCAACAAAATACTACCTTAGAGTAACTTAATAAAATGCAAGAATGTGGGGGAAATATTGAAATTTTGGAAATGATTCAATATTATACAGGGACAGACATAGAAAATGTTGCAAATGTGTTTATGCATGTAAGATGGACACTACTACTCAGAGAAACAGATATGTTGTAAGGTGTTGTGAGATTAAGAGAAAAATTAAGCAGTTTAAGAATTCCATTTAGAAGCAACAGAATTCGTGTAATCTCTTGGCAAGAAGTTTAGTTAGTGAGACCTGAGTGGCACTGTAAACATTAACTTTCTTTTTTTATTTTTGCCAGTGGCGGCACCTGACTTGCTGGATCCCAAATCGGCCACTCAGAACTCCAAACCAAGGTTATCATTTTCCACCAAGCCTACCGTGCTCACTTCACGGGAGGAAAGTGATTCAGCCATTAATGTTATGAAATGGAAGACAGTCTCAACAATTTTTCTCGTGGTAGTCGTGTATTTAATAATTGGAGCAACAGTATTTAAAGCCCTGGAGCAGCCTCATGAGACCTCCCAGAGAACCACCATTGTGATTCAGAAGCAGACGTTTGTATCTCAGCATTCCTGTGTGAATGCAACAGAGCTTGATGAACTGATTCAGGTAATCCATACCAAACCCCTCATCACCTTGCCTTAGAGGAACAAATTATATATGGCAGTACTTCCGTGATAAGGGGCAAAATCTTTCTAAGTGAAGCTCTCTATTGGCCAAGCGATGTAACAAGTGTTAAGACCAGAAGCTGAGCATTTGCATTTTCATGCAAAGCGTCATGGTTGAAAAGCTATTGCTATTTTTAGGTCCAGTATGCTTGGTAGAGGGCCTTTTCACTGAAGCCTCCCATTATGCTAATGAAATGATTATTCATCAGCAATATATATAATTAATAGTTCACAAAGGAATTGGTATATTGATTGTGCTTTACAAGTTCTGTCAATATTTGAAGTGCCTAATTCTGAGGAAGAAGCTACACTATCCATTGCCTTAAAGGACTCCTAATTTACTGTGATTTTTATCAAACTAGTGTTCCTTCCAGCTGCGTGTTTCTTTATATTGATTTTGTTTTAAGTACAGGAAAGTACCATGGACTTCCTACTTTGATCTTAAATCTCAATTTTCTCTGCTTCTTAAAGGCACATCCACAAATTATGTACATTGGTGTGTTCCTATTAACACTTTATTTAACTTTATTTATTTATTTAACTGTATTTATTCCTATTTAACTTTACCCTTGCAGGTCACCTGCCTCAGAACCATGGGAGATATTTATTTGCAGTAGCACAGAACTAGATCTAGAGCCTTATAAATCCCCTTCCAACTTAAATCTCATGTTCTTATGAATATCCAGTGGCACTGGAGGGAAAAGCAGAGGGCTGCCAAATCACATCAGTTCTGGGCATGGGACAATGAAATGCGGGACAATGAAATGAGTGAACAGTCAAGAGTTGGCAAGGATTGACTCCTTCCTTAGCAGTGGCCATGGGGCTATTTGGGTCTACAGAGGCCAAGATGGGACAGGGAGAGCAGGAGAGGGTGTTGGGCACCCAGACTATGGCAAGCAGGAACTCTGAAGCATGCCAGATGCATGGGCAGAAAAAATTTCTGGAAGTGTTTTTTGTCAGCAGATGTGGCTGGGAGTTTAGAAGCTGATTTTACCTCTCTAGACCAATGTGCATTGAACATCAGCATGAAAAATCATCAGTTTTGTTTTTTCAGTTTTAAATATACAATTCTGATATGCTGAGTTTTTTTTTTTTATGGTACACTACTTCTGAATTTTAAAGGTAAGCTGGGAAAATGTCTTGTATTTTGTGATTTCTCCCCTGCCTTGTTGCTAAAATATATTCCAGAACTGCTACCCTTAAAATGCCTCTCTCCACTAGTCCAAGCAGGCATGCCTGAGGAGATGCTGCCGATAGTGATTTAGATACTGTGTAATAACTGTGTTCCAGTGGTTTGACCAGCAGAATGTGAGATAATCTTTCAGAGAAATATAGAAGCACATTCTGATGAAAAATAACTCTTGTAGCTACTATAAATATCCTCCTATGAAATTTTTAGGTCAGATACTGTACTTGTGAAGATTAAAAAAGAAATTTTGAAGCAATATTATCTTACATCATCTGTGAGATGGACCTTAAGGCAAAAACTGTTGAAGTTTGCTCTGGAGTACTTAGATATTTTAGCATTTATGATTTTCTGCCCAGAAGCACAGATTGATAATAAAAACCCACTTCATCAGCATTCAACGCCCATTTGATATTCTGTGTGAAATAAATGAGTTTCAGTACAACCATTAGGGAACAGATAACCATATCGGCAACAGCTTCCATCTCCACTAATGAACTTGCCACAACCAGAAAAACACAGGCGTGTGAAGCATGGGGAGTGACACAGCCTCCCACAGCACATGGATGAGAGAGAATTGTGGAAAGAGTTTGCTCTGCTTGCTGTTGGGGTAAATGGAAAACTTAATTTGCCCTTGATTCCTTCTGCTTGTCTGTAAAGAGCACCATGATGTGGAGGTAGGAATGTGCTGTTACACTCCTTTCACAGGAGCAAAGCTTGGGCACAGGGAGCCTGTTTGGGTGGCTTGCTTTATGCAGAGAAAGTGTTAGTCAGTGACATCAAGTCAATGACATTAAGGGTTGGGAAATTCTGCTTTCCCAAAGTAAAATAGAAAAGCAATGGTAAACAAGAGTCTCTAATTCATTTTTCCAGGTCAAGGCTACTATCTTACTCACTGGGGTCATATTTTTTCCCTAGTTGCCACTTTGCCACAAAAACTAAATTAGTGAAATACATTTTTGCTCCCTGGGATTATGTCTGACTGCTATTACAATATAATGCAGCATTTCTTCAGTTTTTGTTGGATGTCTGTATGAATAAAAATAAATAGTACTTGCAAGGAAAAAGTAAGTGTTATTTAAGAATTCATTGAAAGCTATAAAACTGAAAATTAATATGTACTAGAGTAGAAGGGAGCTGGAATGATTAGTTTGTGTGAAGAAAATTACAGAGCTTAGAGACTGTAATGTCTTCTTTAATCAAGTATTTACCTTGAGTCAAACTATAATGAAATTCATTGCAAGTTTCTTTTTGAACTTCATGTTCTCAGAATCCACATACTGTTTTGGCTCTTTCATGCTAGTCATTGCTCAAGGTGCTTGTCATACCAAGCTTTTTCGATCTTCACAAACTTCTGCTCTGTAGTTTAATCCTTACTCTGAAGGAGCTTGACTACCTGAAGACTGTCCACAGGCAGTACAATATGTGATAGCTTATTCAGGTAAGCACATCAGAGAGACTAGGTGGAGAGAACAAATTCAGCTAAAAAAAAAAAGCACAAATGGAATGACAGTCCATTTTCCAGCAGTTTCCAGCACCCAGGAGCCATGGAGTTTCCAGCACCTTGGCTAAAATCTTCCTGTTGTCACAAAGCTGTTTAAAACAGTATTGTGTGTTTCTATATATACATACAGGATAAGGATTTTTCCCTTCCTGTTTTCTCCATCCTTATGTTATCTCACCAATCCCCAGTACCTGTCCTGGTACAGCATTATATACTGTTGCCAACTCTTCAGCAGGCACTGGTTTATTCCCTGGGTTTTGAATTCCTGAAACTTGTATGTGACTTTGTATTGTCCCATTGATTGTGTGGCTCCTCTGGGTGTACTAGGTGAGAATTATACTTTTACAGACATCATATATTTTATATAGATGTAAAATATGGGGCAACAGAGAGCTGCTATGCAGCCTAGAATATGTGCAAAGGTAATGGAATAGAGTGCTTTGAGGATGGCAATGAGGTAAATCCAGCTGCCTCAGAAGAAGGACCTGTATTTTCCTCATAACTTTTCAGCCCTGTCCAGCAGGTCCAGTATTGCAAATCTTTCAGTCTAAAGCACTTCAGTTACTTGTTGCCTCACTGTCACAGAATATACCTGAAATGAACAACAGCAGTGCATGACATTAAGAGGTATATAGGTATATCCAGGTACATAATTTGATATTTTGTGAGCACTTCCATTTAGTACCATATTAAAAATGTGTAAAAGTCATGCAGAGCATATCTGTACACCCAAGAGACCAGTTTTTCCAGGCAATTCCATCTCCTTTTGCTGTAGCCTGAAGCCAGCATTAACAACAGCATTAAGTGGATCACTGGATGCTGTCTCCAATGGTGCTGAGGTGGGCAGTGCACAGCACTCAGTGGTGGTACATCTAAATTTACAAGTAGAGAAATACCCCAGGAGGGAGGCTTGTAAAAGTACAAAAAGTGCCTGGGTGAGTAATGAGAATACAACAGAGCAGCAAGCTGCTCTGATGTTAAATGTTAAACTTCACTTTTAAAAAGTTTCAGTTGGAAGGTCTTGTGAGGATCTCATTTGGTAACAGATGAGAAAACATTGCTTTGGTAAAGGTTATTTGTGATATCTAATGCATTATAAAGCTGAAGAAAGGAATGTGGCCAGGTTCTTTCCTACTATTTCTTCTTTTGGAGAAGAGCTCTCTACAATTCATCATGAATGGTGGTTTGGTTTCTCTCTGTGCCTGCTCTCAATTTGGCCCTGCCATGCAATGCAAAGTAACTGTCAGGTGACAGAATAAAAGAGTAAATGCAGTTCAGACTGTGTGGATTTAATGAATGTATGACAAAATATATAAACCTGATCTTCATTTACACTAAGGATTTTTTATATCTTGCGTCCAACAATTTTTCTCTCACCACTGAGCCTTTTGTTGGTAGAAGCTGATAGAAACCTGGGAGTAATCCAGCTATACACACAAACAACAATAAGCATTAAAAAATGAAATAATTCTCTAACTGGAGCTCTTGTATCTAACTATTTCAATCTAATTCTAATTTTCTTTTAGTTTGTTGACTGTTTCCTATAGCAAGCTTGCCACTAAGCATTTAAAATGTTAGAAACATCTTCCAAACTCAGATGCACAAAATGTAATGCCAATAACTTTGAAAAATTTCCTGCTATATTTATGCACCTGTGAATGGTAGCAAATGTCAAGACACCTTAGGTTTCACTGCTGCTGTTCTGGTGGCACTCATCTCTTGCAGTGCTCTGCAGCCATGAGATACTTGTGTCTTCCTTCATGTCATCTCTTGGGGTTGTCTCTGGGAACAGGTGAGCCTGACTGAATTTGATATACAGCAGTGTCATAAAATTGTCATTACTGTCGTTTCATACACCTCATTCCCTCTAGAGGATCCACAGATCCTATGGAAGAAATCAGGTGCATGCAAAACCAGTGAATTTTCTTTCTCCTTGCCCAGAACTCATGTTGCTCCTAAGATGTAGGTATGTGGTCAATATTTTGTGTTGGGGGATGTCTTGGCATTAGAAGCAACTGTTTGACCCCTTGCCAAAGAAAAAGATGATTAGGAAAAAATAAAAAAAAGAGAAGAACTTTTTATGTAAATGCCATCTTATATTGCTCAGCAATTATTTGTTCACATTGACCTTTTTAAACCAAAATGGAAAAAAAAAATTATTTTAAAATCTAAGCAAGCTGTTTAATGCATTATTTTTGCATACAAAAAAGAGAAATAAGAAAAATTTTAGTTATATTATTTTAAATATCTA